AGAAAGTTGGTTTCAAACCAGATGCATGAATTTGGCAGACATTCATCTATTATCTGCAATGCACCTGATAAATCTTTCTGTGTGGGCATCTTTTGTGTGTGTGCTGCATACTGTACTTACAGTTTCTTCTGAAGCAGTTCCAAGCTGACACCTCTGTCTTTATGTTTAGAAGAAAAATGTGTTTGCAAAGGGGTGCTTGGCGTTTGAGATTACCTTTTCTGCTCTGAATGTGTTTCCCGTTGCGGATGCACCTACATGTGAGACCTAAAGCAGCTCCTACTTTGTGAATGCCTGCAGGCAGCTTGTTGAAGCTTCGGGGTCCTGGCAGCTGCAGACAGGAGTGAGTGCTTTTGGCAACCTCCACCATAAACCCCAACATTGACTGCTTTCTCTCTTGCTCTCTCTTTCTATCTGAATCTCTCTTTCTGCCACTTTCTCTCTCTCCCCATTGTGCCATGAGCAATGGCTGACTGTCTTCTACCTGTGGCACCAGAACTCACTGCACAAGCATCCCACTCATGAGCTCTCCTTTGCAGTTTCCAGTAGGCAATTGCTTTAAATTTAATCAGCTGTTACAGTATGTCCAGTGTTTGTGGTGAAATGTAGGAGAACAGAGTGAAATAAGGAGAACCTGGATCGAGTGGACATCATAAGAGGGGATGTCGTGTCACTTTACTTAGATTAATGCAAATTTGTGCTTCTCCACTAGGTCTGACAGGTCACACCGAGGTGGTGAGAGTGGTGTTCTCCCCCCAAGACATCAGCCATGAAGAACTGCTTAAACACTTTTGGGAGAACCACGATCCAACACAAGGTAGCAGCGCACACATACACTCACAGACAAACCCCAAAGTTGCCCTCAAATAAGTCCTCTCCCAAGGGGCACAGGGTGTATTAGAGCAGAAGGATGATGCCCAGACGTGTGCCTGTGTGTGTGTGTGTTGTGGTGGGGGGAGGTCTCATGGGTGTAAGTCAACGCCAGACAGTGTTAATGTGTCTGAGATCCAGCCATCCATGGAGAGACCCACCAGTGTGGTGCATGTTCAAGCTCCCGAAAACCTCACTAAACATGTGCGTCTTTCTTACTTTATTATATGTATACCAGCCTTTTGTCGTTCACTACACATATTGGATTCTGGGTGACGCAATGATGATACTAAATTCGCTCATTTCTAGGTTGAATAACGTCTTTGGATTTTTATGTTATTGTGCTTCATCCGTGGGTTTGTTCCCTTAACGACATATCTGAAGTAGTCAGTGACAGGAGGCTGGTGACTGTTCAGAAACTTTGGAGTGACGTCGTAACAGCTCGCTTAACTAATTCAGATGCTTCACTTGTGATCGCTATTCCATCGCACTTGCACAGCATCGACAAGGACCACATCCCCCAAAAGCCATATCTCTTCTTTTCTTCAAGTCTGTTGCTCTCTTGTTTTCTGTGCTCACTGGAGGAGGTGATGTAAGAACATTAATGCACCGGGAGGATATGTAGAGGGTGTGTGCATCTATGTGTGTGTGAGAGACAGAAAGGACAGGCAAAGAGGTACTGTGCTCACTTATATTGAATGTAGGGAGGGGCATGACAACTTGGGAAGAGATGGATCAAAGATTCATAGGCCCGACCTTCAGGCTTGTGCGCACGCACGCACCGCTCACAGTAACGTTGCCCGTGACGGTTTTGTCATCCCTTTTGCATCTGTCATGATTGCTCTCTCATGATCGCTCCTGGTGTGACCTACATACGCTGGAATGTCAGCCATGTTTGTGCGTCTACCGCAAATACCCAGATAAATACAAGCATAAGCTTTTCACTTCGGCTGTTCTACATGAGGCAGGATTTTGGAAGGATGCAGGGGAAGAAGAAGCTACTGAGCGCTAAAGATCATCCAAGAGCCCCATCCTCCTAATCAGAAGGGATTCTTCTCCTGTTGACCACAGCTGAGAGCAGAGACACGTCTTACTAGGGGCAAAGAGTCGAGCTGACACACCACGGTGAAAAAGCAGTGAGGCCAAAAGACTAGTCATGCATTTCCCTTGACTCGCTGCCTTGTCTCATCTCATGTTTTATTAATAGCGTGCAGCTTATTGTCTATGCACTATGTATTTTTATTTTCATTTTTTTGTCACAGGTAAGACCAGACGACATATTTCAGAATAACCACAAACTCAAATGTACTTTTTTTCTCAGTCTCCTTGAGTGTTGCTCCTTTGCGCGTGACTTAAATGTGAATCCCCGCCGTTTCTCTCTTCTCAGATTCCGGGTTCACGTGTAGCAGAAATTCCTCTGATTTGACAAATGTAGCATGGAGTGGTGGAAAAGGGCCCGCTGGCTGTGCCTTCACGCATGCTTAAGCTCCAATTTATTCTGTCCACCTTAGAGCTGGGCTTAAAAGAGAATGGAGAAATTAAGGAAGTTCACTCTTTTCCCTTTTAACTGCACACATTCACTAGAGATCGTATATGAAGACGAGCCCGGGAGCATTACGAATTCTGTTTTCTCCTGGCACGTATCAAAACAGCAGAGGTTTGATAGATATAGATATATATCTATAAAAACATATGCGTGTGTGTGTGTCGGGGGGGGGCAATGCACAGGTGCATATTCAGTTGCATGTAATGCTTCCCTTTTAATGCGTTCGTGTGGGTGTGTGCATGCACATATGTGTGCGCGCGCGTGTATGTGTTTTGATATCTGTGCCTCTCTGCTTTGCCTCAGTTCAAAAGGGTTTAGTCCCGACAACGTGATGTCGGGCTGCGTCAGCTCCACCAATCCCAGCCTGGATAGCAACATTAGCAGCCAATCAGAAACTCCCAGCAGCCTTTGCTGTGTGCCCCCTTTCCATATTCAGCAACACTAGTCTCAATCTGCTGGCTTCTTTGGGATGTTGCATAAAGCCACCCCCACACCCCCCCATTCCAACATGCTTCCATATTATAAGTTTCTCATGTCTACGTTCAGTCAACTCTTCAGGAGCACCCCTCCACGCCAGTGAATGACAAACTCTCAACAGTCGGGTGACATTGCATGTCAGAGGGCAGCAGCCGTTTTGTTGCATCTTGAAAGCTGAAAACGGGATTTCGTTGAGGATGATCACCGCTGACTTGCGAGCACATCCAGTTTTTCTTTCGCTTTAACGCGGACTCCGGCGCAGTAAAATCCAAGCGTGTTGTTGATTTTACCTTATGCACAAGTGCCCAATATGCCCACTTTAAGCTTTAATTAAGCTTTGCTTCATTTGAACATACACTTAAGAACACACCCATGCATACTGTGCATGCAGAGAGCGTACACAGCAGCATAGGCTGCTTGTCGGTGTATTCACTGGACGAGTCCTTGTTACAGAGGCCTGTAGGCCCTGTTTCACTCTCTGTTTTTGCTATCTCCGCACTCCCTGTGGAAGATAGGAACACCTAATCTGGTCATTCCTTTATCCTGCCAACCTTTCGGCGCAAACCCCACTGTTTCTCTCTGTTACTTAAATATTTGCCTTACCACCCTTTTTTTTTTTAATTCCTTAACCCTTTAAACCCACCCCCCCCCCCCTTTTCTCTGATTTCTTATTCTGTCTTCTATCTTCTTTCCTCCAATTCTTTCCTCTGTGTTTGCACATTCTGTCCCAGTTTCCCCCTCTCCTCCTGTCTCATCCTATCACCCCCTCCCCCTTCCCACCCCACCCATTTCACCTGCACCCCCTACCCCTGTCCCTTTTGCAGTGAGTGGAGCGGAGGGGCAAGTGAGAGAGCAAACGGCCCGGAGCCCGTCAGTACATCCGCAGAGCAGCACAGTGAGTCGACCGCTCCCTGAGGCCATCCGCTCATCACACAAACACACTCACATTCACTCACTCCTCTTTTATCTCTTAGTCACTCTCTCCTCCCTGCTCCTCATCCCCCCCCCTCCCCCCCGCTCTCCTCATCTCTTCCTCCGTTCCCCTTGTCCCCCACCCTCTCCGCCGCCCTTCATCTTAACAAGCGAGGCTTTTCCCCTCCTCATTGTTTCCTCCCCATCTCTTTTTCCCCTTCTTTGCTTCCTCTTCCCTCATTCCCTCCATCCTCTCTATTTTTTGAGGCCATGCAGTATTTATGTTGTGGGCTGCTGATGCTGCGTCAGTGAACAGACATCACAGGCGTACGCCGATAGACACAAAAACACAAGTGTACAACTAAAATGGCCGACGCAGCTGTCCTCATTTGATAGCGTCTGCACGTACATGTACGCTAACCTTTGTGGGTTAGATACTTTAAATAGTTTAGTTAAAAAGAAGAAAAGAAAAAAATTATTGTGAGGGTTTTTTTACATTTGAGCTTGGGGTGTTTTTTTTGTTCTAAAATCTATATTTTACAATATGAATGTAAGTTGCACAGCGTTGTTGCTGCATTACATTCTATATGACAAGCTGTATTTAAATGGCTTATTGCCTATCACACATAAACATGATCTATTTGAGTCACCCTAGCAGCGGTTACTTTCTGACAATTGCAATGAGCATGAATATTCCTTTATGTAATATCTTCACCCCAGCTGGCGGCGACACACGCCAATTCCCTGTTGGGGTACCCCCGTGTCCCCCCCGTGTCACCACATCCCTCAATTTCAGGGGTGCCCAGGCACATCCAAAGCAAAAATCCCACAGGAGATGACCTTGACATATAACCCATGACCTCTGCAACCCCCCACACTTCTAATCCAACCCTGTTTCTCTCCTGTGGTTGGCTGAGGTTGGCGGGCTCATTACCAGGTGTCGGTTATTACACCCTCACACATGCTGACGGCCTTAATTTATGGAGATTGAGGCACGTGTGTTCACAGCGTGGGGGTTGAGTTCTGCATGTCCATTTGAATATGTTCAAGTTTTCTAACATTTTCATACTTTATTTTTTCTATGTATTTTTTTTCAATTTCCAAATTTGCAACCTTTTCTCTGTGGGTTTTTGTGAACGTATTCATATTTCGTGGTAATAAACCAACACAGATGACAACTGGACTGAAAAAATATATTTAAAAAAATAGAGCTCGACATGAGATATGTGGTTTCTTCTTTCAAAATTAAAGTCTAAACTAAAGTGTTTTTCAGAATAAAGAGTGATAGTGTCCTAAACATTTTACGTTTTTTGACGGCCTGTCGTACATTTAATTTGACAGCACACAAAATGAGATCAAATTTATTAAAAGAAAAATAAGATGTGCAGCATTTGAAAAATCAGTATTTAAAAAAACATATTCCCTCCAGGGAAGAGAAACTGCATGTACTTAATTCTGGACAGAAACTCGAAGAAGTTAGAGTGTTATTATTGTAACTGTTAATTTGGAGCAGTCAGGGGTTTTTTTTATATTTCTGTTTACTTCATTTTTACATAATTATATAATATGTAAATTTGATCCCAGTAGGAGGTTTGGGTTTGCTGAAACTGCTGACCTGAACTCTGTCTAAAGTAGAGAGGGATATAACTCGAGGAATCCAACTTGTGCTCTCAGTATGGACTGACTGGAGTACAATGGTAGAGCTCGCTTCACTGTTGGAGCAGCTAAAAATAAACAGCTCAGGGTTAGAGTCACAGTGGTCTGACAACATGCCCAGAACTATGAAGTGATCATGTTAGAGAGCACTGCTCCTGTATAGAGAAATTAAAAACAGTAACATGAGGCAGCTTTTCAAAAGAGGTAACCGCAGCGATCTACCTCATGCGTTGTCACGTAAACAGATGTAGTCGCGGTAACATCCCTGAGAGTCACAGCTCTGATTTAAAACGACCTCCTTTCAGTGTTGTGTCACTACCTCACAGCAAGCTTTGCAATGGCTTATTGTTTTCATT